ATGAAAATATAATGAGACTTCTATCATTAATCCTTTCTTGTACTTACATGTCTTGCTTATGACCCGTGGATGAATATATAGAGAGAGAAAGACACTGGGGTTTTTTTTTTTTTTTTTTTTTACTTTTTAATCGTACCATATATTTTGAGTTTATTAAAAAATTATACCAATGTATTTCGGATCTTGCATGTATAAATCCTTAAACTGTAATTTATCCTAAAATTCATATATTCTCACAATCAACGGTCAAATTGATCGAGAAAACGACTTTTAATTCCAACAATACGGTAGTTGTAGACATAATTTAACAGTAATATCACACTTGACTGCACCATAAAGGGTAGAATTTGAATCCTCCTACCTCCAAGTTAAAAAAAAAAAAAACAAAAACCACACCACCCCTCAAACACTATATATATATATATATATATATAAATCAATACTCTATTGTTCCAAAATTAGACAGAGCTCCGCTACCCACACGAATAATGGGTGCCATCCAGCTAGGCGCTAATTCCACAAGTCCTCAAATGCATTCACACAAAATGGACTCCAAACTCTTGCATGTAAGTATAAACGTTAATGTCAATCTGACTTTCTAAACATAATTTTGCTTTGCTTAAGTCAATTTTCCATGGAAAAGTAACAGTGTAGCATGCAAATTTAAAAGGCGATGAAAGATTATTCTACTGATTACTACTGAAAGCAACTGATTATTCCTTGCAGTTGCTTCCAAGCGTGCAGACCTTAGCATTTTCGCTTATCCTCCTAATGGCCTACACTGCCACCTTATTTTTGTGGTTGTGCTTGCTTGATTTGTCTTGAATTTTATTTTCTTTCTTTATGACTCAAGTGTTATGCTTGCTTGATTTGTCTTGAATTTTATTTTCTTTCTTTATGACTGTGTTTTGTGAAAATGATACGCACATATATCCATATAATTTTTAACATCTTAATCCAAATAATTTCCAAGGAAAAAAGAATTATTAGGATAGAAAGGGACCATATATAATATATATGTGTGTGGATATATTGCGAGCTTCGATAATCACGGGATAATTGCATCTTGGGATCGAAGAAAAAACAACAGAAGAAAAACATTTTATTGGTATGATTATTTTCATTCACCAATAAGGAAGACATGTGATTTTCCAAACAAGCTGTTTAATTGATTAAGATACATTTGTAAATCCGTAAAAATCTTTCTCCCTCCCGATTATCTTGCATCTTGACTATTGAATGTCTATGATACTAATCCATAAAGGAAAATAAAGTAATTTTCATTATAGTCTTCACTTGTCTTAGTTGATGTAATGAGAAACAATGTAATTTTCATTTTAGTGTTTATTAAACTTAGAAATGATGATGTTATCAATATAATTGTTAAAATATTTTGTTAACATAATGACATAATCATTAAATTATAGCATCTGAATTTTAAAAGTATCTAAGTAAATTTAGTATTCGTTTTCTTTAGTAGGAAATCAATACCAAGAAGATATAAGAATTGACATTCTCTTTATTTATTCTTTAAATTGTGGATCACTAAAGTTTTATTATTAATTTTTTAAGTAGATATAAGATTAAATGATGATGAGAATAACTTCTAATTCTCTGCTTTCCTTTCATGTGAAGTAAACACTCCTTGACTATCAAACTTTATTATTATTATTATTATAATGATTTCTCAAAAGAAAAAAATTATTTTAAATTTATAAACTAAACATGTCAATAAAGATATAAGTATCGGCCGCCCGGCTTGGCCCGGCGGCCCAAAGGGAAATTTCGGGCTGGGAAAAGAAAGACTCGGCCCAGTCCGGCCCTAAACTCAAAAAATTTAGGGCTAGCTTAAAATTTTATAAGGTATTTTCAAAAGAATCTATAAAAATATGAAGTTTGGGTTGGACATGTCTGACCCTAAAGGAGAGAGGGTCGACCCAACCCGACCCTAAACCTAAATAATTTTAAACCGGGCTGGGTGGGACCCAATCCAACAGTAACGGGCTTCTGGCAGTAACGTTTAGCCCAGCCTAAACCTGCACTACGAGTCAACAACAAATGCTCTCACAATCAGATATTTGAACCACAAGCCATATATTTCCTTCACCAAACCCTGAACTTGAACTATACGTAGTAGGTGGACTGTAGGCCGAGATTTGGTCAAAGTTGCTGGCCTTCAATGTCAATGAGGAGTTTTCTTGTTTTTTTATGAGGAGTTTGGTTCGGCATTAATTGTGTACTAGCCAAACTCTATACGAGTATACTTATGTATATGGCAGATGTAAGACACAATCGTCCAATGACTCCAATCCAATGTGTTCGTTTCCTAGCAATTTCCTTTTGTGTATCCCTATTCCTCTACTTTAAAGGCACAGTGCAAAAAAAAAAAAAAGTTAAAGAAAAGTTTGTCATGACAAATAGAAAATTCGACTCTAATGCAGAAAGTTACCAATTGATGTTAGTATCGAATGATGTTGACGCTGGAAATCTACAGTTTAAATGTTTGTAGTGTTAATTTGTTGTTACAGACGACGAAAATAAGAAATCTCAACGATTGGTGGGGTAAAACACGAATTTAATAATTGAAAAAGGATTATTAGCTAAAAGCTCTTAAAACATTTCAACAAGAGAATTAAGATTAAGTTATATGGTATTTAATAGTAGCTTCTTCCATGTTATTTATGTTACGCTTTTATTTTTTATTTTTGTCTTTTTTCTTTTCTGATCTGGATTATCGGTTGAAAAGAAAAGGAATAATAAGAAATTAGTTTTTGCATGTGTAGCATTTAAACTGATTTTTTCAGCTACTTATGTGATGAGTTTTCACTTTAAAGTCATTTTTTTCTTCGTTAATTTGATTGGATAAGAACTCAATGCGCATAATAATCTAGGAGAAGTGGCCGTATGCTAGAAGAATTGATGTAGATTGTGATGTAATAGATTGCTGTTAACCTTCAGTGAGTTATTATCTTATAGTGAACTTTTCTTTTTCAAGTCCAATTTATCTCTTGTTTCAAGGGAACGTAGCTCATCATATATCCAAATTTCTCATACACACCCAAAATATTTAAATTGCAATTAAGTCCTTTTTAACTAAAGAAAAAATATCAACCTTTTTTTAATTATTTTGAAGAAATGTACACAATCATGTGTTTAATGTATTACTAAAACGTTACAAAGATGTGTCGCCCAAGCCCGCTGTTTATGTGTTTGGGTGTGTAGATTGTTTTTCCTATATATACATAAATATATATATTTATGATATATCCTCACTTAATTATTTTTTTCTTTACTCCTCTAAGAAATTACAATAGCAAAATTTATCATCACAAATACTTTTTTTTCCCTAATTGGCTAGTGGTTCTTCCTAAAAAATGCTCCATGTTCTTTTTTTTTTTCTAAGTGATATCAACTAATATTAACGATGCTCATCTTTTTGTTTTTATTTGTGTGATTTGAACAACATTAACTAAAATATCATCTTTCCTACCATCTTTTGATGCCAAATTTTAGTTAGCAAAATATAGATTTAGAAACCAAAAATGTTTTGGTCACTAAAAGCGCATTTTCTTTATAGCATTTTGATGAATATTATTTTAGTTGTGGAAAGTGACCAACCTTTATTCACTAGATTTTTGTCCTCAAATGGTATTTTTAGCGTCCAAATTATTTACTAGTAAGTGCTTAGTACTAAATCCCTCTATATTATGATGTTTGAGTTCATAATCTTTTGCAACTAATATTTTAGTCCCTCAATCTTCCTTTTTGCTCCCTATAGGTTGGAACTCTCGCCCCGGTTTCATCTTCACCATCATATTGTCAATGATCTCCATTGTAATTATGATGAAAATTAATTGCATTACGATTCTCATTTTAACTGTATCTCGACACTGCTATGCTTATTAACTATCTTGTATAAACTTATACTAATAGGAGTGGAAGGGAAATTAGAAAGGAGAATCATTTCACTACATCTTAACGACAAGAGTATATTTATTCATCATATGTTGAGATTTTTCAAATTTCTGATTACAAGAAAATTAGAGAGCATCTCTACTGTGTACCCATCTACGGAAGCAAAACAACACCAGCTACACGACAACTTAAAAAAAATGAAAGTTTCTTTGAATCACTGTGGGCTAAGATTGTAAAATCATCTCTATTTGGATAGTTTTTTTTTTTTGATGTGTCGCCGAATCCAAATTTTTTTTACTTATCTTATTTTTGTAACGATGAGTGATCTTAACTTATAACGAAAATGCCTTTTACTTTAATTTGAGTTTATTAAATTGAATAATAAGTTCTTTTTAATAAGTATTATTTTAATAATTTCTAATAATAAGCATTTTTCTTATAAATTATTAAATCTTTTTAATTTTTTGCTTCTCCTTAATGTAGTTTTTCTTACTCACATTTTGAATTTTATTATTTACTATTACTACTTATATTCAGTATCTTTTTCTTCACTTTTTTGAAGGGAAAATTTCATTTCAAATATCGTTTTCTTATCTAATTTTGTTGTTTATCAATAATTTGACTGTTACGGTTTTGATAAGTATTTTTTGATGAATCGGCCCGTATTAAATGTCAGAAGTTTGACTAGATAATATTTTTGTCAGAAGAAACTATGGATAAAAATACATCTGAGATATATATATATATATATATTAACACTTAGATGTTCTTTATAATAGTCCCATCAATTAATGAGGCCTAAAGGGAGAAAAAAAGACACAATAGATTAATATTTCTAAGTGCACTACGTCTCTAGGCTTGTACATATGTGTAATAAATCAACGTTATGCAAGTGTAACCACGTAGTTCCTATGTCTCTAGTTTATTATTATTTTTAATTATTTTGGCTTTGAACCTTTTTCTTGTTGACATAGCATTTAAATAAGTCATAATCAACTTTTTTGTTATTAGTCTTTCGCTTTTTGGCGACGGAGTTAAAATCAAGCTTTACTTTAATTAAACTTTATCTAGTTGTTAAAGTTTCACTATAAATTAGCACAATACTCACCAAAAGTGGCAGATTGAAAAGTTGTTGAACCATCTACGTTGTTCCTATTCCCTGTAACGATTGTGGCGTCTATGCCATCCCCAACAAACATCAAGTTCTTGATATCGTTCTTGATCTCGACATTTTCATTGTAAACGCCCGCTTTCACGTACACAACAATCCTCTTACTCCCTCCACCTAGGTTTTTTGCTGCCTCCACGGCCTCCGAAATAGTCTTGAAACCACCCGATCCGTCTTGGGCCCCTACGATATCCGCTTTTTCTGCCGCCCCACCGGATTGTAGAAGCTTCCGGTCTGCGGCGGAAACCCATTCGGGGAAGCCATCGGAGAGCAGCCGTCGACTGCGAACTTGTTTACTAAACGACGTCGCGGTCGATGGATTAGTAGCCTTGTTGATGGCCAGTGAATTGCTGAGCAACTTCGAGAAGTTACTCAGCATGGAAGGGAAGGAGTCGTAGTGGGAAGGGATTTGGAAATCAGTGAAGCCGTTTCGGCAAGTATGTTGGTTGGCAAGAGATGCACTTAACCATGTGTGAGTGTCCAAAGGATTCTTGTTGTTGGAGTTCACGGAACGGTTGAGGAGATCAACCGTGTCCTTGTAGAGTTCAAGGCAATCTTGCCACGCCGATTTGCCTCGCTCGCCGAAGGAGTCTGAGTCCATGGTGGAGACGAGGCGGTGGGCTTCGACCGCTTGCTTCATGGTGGCTTTTAGGGCTAAGTCATGGAAGCAGACGGTGGTTTTATCGTCTAGGGTTGAGAGGTGATTAGTGTTGAGGAAATGGTGGCACACTTGGGGATATGGGGTTTGGTTGCATGTCGATATAGTGCTTTTAGTGCCATGCACCACGTACATAGAAAATAGTAGAAAATATGCACAAATTGTGGCTAAAATGACATCATAATTATAATCCATGGAGACCAAATTATGAACTTTTTAGATTGACAATTCTCTATAGAGGTTTGGAATTATAAATGTAGAGAGTTTGAAACTTTGAATATTTCTTTGATTCGATAAGTGGGATGAGAGGCTTGTTTATATAGGTAAAATAATAATAAGCACCAATAGGTAAATATAATGACCACTAAAACCAATATATGTGTATATATATACACACAACAAATTCGCAGGTTTTTATTCTCAAAGGAGCCAATTTAAAACGTTAATGGTAGTGCATAACACATATTGATTAGGCCATAAATCTGTCTCCGGTTTAATAGTTCTGCAATTAATCCCATAAAAGTCTGTGATCATATTGAAAACCAGAAAGTACCAAACTGTCCACATTGGTATATAGCAGATGAAAACTTTCCTTTCTTATCTTAACTCTTAAGTGGGGGTTTTCATCTCAACCATAATTTTTCAAATACACATGAGGCGGCTCGTGAAATTTTGGCCATTTGATTAAGATGGGATTTTTATCTTTTGTTAATTAGGTGAACAGCAACATGTTTTGCTTGACGTGGTTCTTGGTAGGTTTGTAATTTCTAGTTCCCGTCTAGCCACGTTGTCTTACAGAGTTCTAATGACCCTAAAGTATAATCCAACTTTATTAATTTATAACTGAACAAAAAATAAAGCTTCTTGCACGTGGCGTTTCGCTGGCCTTTCATGCTGATTTTTTTTTTTGAGATAGTCAAAGATGGCAAATTACGGTTGCAAAACTAGGATGCAAAAAGAATGCTAAATATCTTTTTCCAAAGGAAAAAAAGGCTAAACACGTTCTTTTACTGTTACTGTAAAATAAGAGAGTACGAGAGAATTGGTATCGCGGTTCGGTAACAACTTATTCTGCGAGGCCACGCTCAGATGATGAACAATCTACTAAGAACTCTTTTACAATTCAATTGGACTTAATCTATCCGAACGTCCCTCTCTAAGAAGACGTTTATTAACTTACAATTTCCTAATGGACTTGTACCGCGAGATCCCTTCGACTTTTTAACATTAGAATCACTCCAACTAAGTTTTTCTCTCAAAAACACTCAAATCATCTCTCTTGAATACAAGTGCTCTCCTCTCACACAACCCAGCAAAACTAATCAAAAGGTGTATAGAGATACAAGAGACTCTTTGAATAAATAAGCAAAAATGATAACAGCTTGATAACCTCTTCAATTAATTCGCTGAACCAAATCTGTTGCAGATTCTTGTTGCAACAATAACTGCAACATAGCTGTTACGGTCAACTTTCTCAAAACCAGTCCGAATCAATCTGCTTTAATTCTGAAACCTTCCTGAAACTGATATATGAACCTGGACACGTTCTTAGGAGACAGAGGAAGATCATCCAGCTACGAAATCTCCATCAAATGTCAATCAAATAAATTTACTATGTTTGGATCAATAGTTGACTTTCAAAAATAAAAACTAAATTAAGTTTCTAGATCTTTCAGAAACCTTCCATAAAGAACTTGCCAGCTGCACATCTATTCTCAACCACAATCAACCAACCAATCATTCCCAAAATAATGCCAATCACAACGAATAGAATATTACAAAATTCAGGAAACAACCCCAACAATTAATACAAAATTTAGGAAACAAATCCCAACACTTTTTCCAAAGGAAAAAAAGGCTAAACACGTTCTTTTACTGTTGCTGTATCCCCTCATTTTTTTCTCCTTTCATGCATGTTAATAATATTCTATTACGTCAATTAAAAAATTATGATAATTAATTAACGTGACATGATCTTATTAAAAAGACACAAATAAAGGGACATATAAGTCCAAACTGCCTTTTTACTAAGCTTTTTTCATATAATTATTCTGAAACTTTTAAAGATTAATTAGATTCAAATCTTTTATTTATTTATTTATGTTGTTCTAATGCGGTTAACAGAGATATAATGGGTCTTCTTTGCTATAGATTTTGTAAAAAGCTGACTTCTTAAAGTAAATATGTACTCCTTATTTTTTTAGACTTTTTCCCATTAGGTTCTGACTTGATGGTTTTTAACGAAGCATATTTATAGCTTTTCTTCCATGAATGAGTTAAAGGCTCTATCTTTTGGACTTAGCTTCCAATTTTATAGGTTTTTTGTTCTATTTTTCCATTTGTTTAGTCTTTTTGTCTTTGGGTTGTCTTGTTGAAACATTAACTTTGTTTTTTTTTTATTTTAATAATTTTGAGTGAGAGTTTTAATATAGGACGAGATTAGTTAGTGGATGCCAATCTGATGAGTGAGTTTTACTCGTTTATTTAGTATTATTTTACACTTAACATCTAGTTGGTTTTCGAGGTTTTTGTTAGTTTTTATGTGTGTTTTCGTTCTTTGTTTGAAGGTTAGGTGAAAGTCTATGATTTGGAAGGTTTTGGACAAATTTCGGTGGAAAAAGACAGCAAACATTGCGCTTAGGCGCCAATCTGTAGCGGCTTGGTGCTGAGTTTTATAGAATCAGTGCAGTGTGGCAGAATGGGTGGCGCTTTGGCGCCAGTCTGTGGCGCCTTGGCGCTGAAATCCAACGGAATCAGTGCAGTGGGGCAGAATGGGCAGCGCTTTGGTGCCCATGACAGTGCCCAGGATTTTTACATAGTAGCACCGCAACGCTAGGAACTTAGCGCCGCGGCGCTACTGTGTAAAAATCCTGGGTGCTGTGGCGCTGTCATGGGCGCCAAAGCGCTGTACATTCTGCCCCACTGCACTGATTTCGTAAAACTCAGCGCCAAGGTGCTACAAATTGGTGCCTAAGCGCTATGTTTACTGTCTTTTTCCACCGAAATTTGTCCAAAACCTTCCAAATCATAGACTTTCACCTATCCTTCAAACAAAGAACGAAAACACACATAAAAACTAACAAAAACCAACTAGATATTAAGTGTAAAATGATATTAAATGAGCGTATAAAACTCACTCATCAAATACCCCTAAACTTAATATTTTGCTAGTCCTCGAGTAAAACAAAAATGAAATTGGGATGTGTTAATAATTTTTGATACCAGCAATTTATTAAAAAGAAAACTTCATTGTTCTTTTAATTACAAGAAACAAGGCTAAAAATACATTTGCGATGACTTTGTATTTTTTACAACGACTTTTTGTCGTCGCTAATAATCATGTTTCTTATAGTGAAAGGAAATTACGAGTTTGGAAGCTTGGGGCATTCTTTTTGTCATGAATGATCAACGCGAGCATTCTTCCTCCTAGTAAATCTATAGTAATAACCCCTAGCATAAAGTCGTGGCCAAATTTAGCATCATATGACATATATCTCAAAAGATTTCATATAAGAGTACTTGCATGGAAACTACTTATATACTCGTTGATAAATTAACATTTAGATAAAAGTGCTCTGATAACTTGTTCTTCGTTGCTATCCCATCACTAGTTGTGGTTCATTACTCTAGAGGTTGTTTGCAAGGATAGGGAACTGAATTGAATAGGGTACTTCCCTGACTATGGGGATATTGTGAGTGGAGAACTCAATAAACCAAATAAAAGGGAGGAAAAAAAAAGTAAAAGTAAACCTTGTAAGTTTCTACTAAACTTAAACACCAATCTATAAGACAGAATATAACATGTAAGTTTCTAATAAATGTACATTTAATTTGGTTTGGAACTTGATCCGTATGAATAAATGGAATCACCTAAAACAGTCATATATTTACTTATATATCAAACATGGTGCAGTTTTAACTAATTATTATAATATGGCAAGAGATAATATAACTACTTTAATTGAAAAGTTACAATTTGTACCATCAAAGTGGGTATGACCAATCCCATTTCTTTCACAAAACTCTATACGTTACTTTTAAAGTCACTTTCTTCTTTACGGTATATCTATAACTTCTTCAATCAAGCAACTTAGAGCTTTCCCGAATCAAGCAACTTAGTGTTCTAAGTAGTTAATTTTCTTTTAAAAGCAAAATTTCAGAAAATAAAATTAAGGAGAATATATAGCTTTGAATTTGAAGCTTTAATAAGAATACGTAAAACGCTATGTGCACGATCAAACGGCCACAACTATTTCAAAATAATCAAGAGAATTTATAGAAATTAAGTAAATTCCAAAGACCAAAGATTGCACAAGGCACGTGTTTTTCAACAACGATATATAGTAAAAATATATATGTTTTTTTTTTTCTTTTTTTACCCTTGTACTTGTATATAGAGATGTGAATCATGACAGCCCGCCCCAATTTGATCCATTTAAATTGAGCTCAAGTGTGTCTCGTGTCATGTTTGAGTTGGTCCATTTATTTACCGTGTTAATACTGAGCTTGACCCATTTAGTTTCTATGCTGTCAAGCCCGGCCCACGGCCCATGTATATGTGGGCCGTGCCCTTATCGTGCTTGGGTCGTGCTTGTGTTATTATCGTGCTCTTTACGTCTTTTGATCATGTCAAATAACATATTTACAACAAATACAAAGAAATAAACTTTTAACAGAATGAAAACATTAAAATCTTAACGAAAAAAGCATATCATTAATTAAAAAATGTGCCTTAATTATTATTAATGTAATCATTATTTTTACTTTTATTAAAACTTCTTAATAAAACAAATATTTTTATGACATGTAACATATATTAATAAAATTAGCTCTATACTTTATCTTCATTAATTGGGTCTTTATCGTACTTTTAACTTGCTCGTGTCTATATTCGTGCTTGTGCTTGTGCGGTGTATGCTGTGCCCTTAGCGTATTTTGTGCCTAAAAGTCGCATCAAGCCAAGTCAATTTAATAAACGGGATAGGCCAGACCCATTTAATAATCGTGTCGTACCATATCGTTCCCACTTTTTAATGTGGTGTGCTCATGCCAGCCCTTCAAGTCTGTTTTGACATCTCTACTTCTATATATTGGTCGCTATTCAAAATATTGTTCCTGCCTATATTATATGTTATTAATTGGTTTCTCTGTTTTGCACAAAAAATAAAAGGAAAACTGTGATAGATTAAATATTG